TGTGTGTGTGTGTGTGTGTGTGTGTGTGTGTGTGTGTGTGTGTGTGTCTCTCCAGCTGATCCTCCCGGAGTGCATGAAGCTGCTGCCGGTCTACCTGAACTGTGTGCTGAAGAGTGACGTCCTGATGCCGGGAGCCGACGTGTCGTTGGACGACCGGGCTTACCTGAGGCAGCTGATCAGCGGCATGGACGTCTCAGAGAGCCACGTCTTCTTCTACCCCCGCCTGCTGCCACTGGTGAGGCCACACAGCAACACGGAGGCGTGCTCTCCTGGAGGGTTTCGGTCATGAATTATTTGGCCCGGTACCAAAGCCCAACGTACTGACAAACTTAAAATAGCATCAGCTGTGTGAGAATAATCACATTTTAGATCGGGCAGAAGCATTTCTGTGTTAATCAAAGAGGCGAGCCTCGTATGAATCGTATGTAGATTCATAAAAACAAGAGTTTGCTGCCCTCTATTATCAGACTCAGGAGGATAATAGCCTGTGTGTTATTCATAATACTGTATTCAAACCAGATGAAAATACATCTGCATAATTATGCTCTCGTAGAACAAAGAAGCAGACACGGGGCTTTCTTTTTGATGATGATGCTTTTGAACTTCCTCCATCACAACTATTTTTATCATGAGAATGCTCCACAGTGTGTACTTCTCTCATGCTAAGTCTGGAGCATTGTTGACTTAACAAGCTCTGTGGTGTTCTGCATCACACTTGTAGACTTTGGGAGCATGTCTGCTCATGTCTTTACACTTCGGTTGAAGCCCCGACAGTAGTGGTGTGCTCAGCTTAACACCTGCATGCTTTGCACACTCTAGTGTTCAAACTGTGAATACAAGAAAAGACCGTTGTGAGAAGAGAAGATGCTGCTTTGTGCTATACTCCCTCAAGTCTCTGCTCATGTCCGCCAGTAAAACTAACATGTTCGTCTACTTTTGGACTTTCAGACGAAGTTTGAGAGTGGCTCGTTGCCGGTGGCGGTGAGGGACTCTGAGGAGAGGCTGTCTAAAGGCGGACTTTACATCCTGGAGACGGGACTCCACCTCTTCCTGTGGGTGGGAGCCAGCGCTCAGCAGGAGCTGCTGGTCAGCATCTTCGGCACGCCGAGCTTCAGCCAGATAGACCCGAGCTTGGTGAGATGCTTGTTGACGCTTCATCCTGGTTTTTGTTTATACGTTACACAACTCTTTGCTTCCAGTTTCTGTCCGTTCACTTCATCAACTAGTCATGTGATGGACTGAATATGAAACGTTTAAAATATTCAATTTTCTGTTTCAGACAAGTCTGCCAGTGCTGGACAACCCCTTCTCTCAGAGACTGAGGGAGATCATCGAATCCTTCAGAGCACAGAGATCACGATACATGAAGGTAAACGTTCTCTTTTCTTTGTTACCTCTCTGATGTCTTTCAGTCCGACCGCTTTGTGTCCCTCTTCCGTTTTGTCTCTTATTTGATGCCTCATTTAGATTATAATTTTCTACAAATCACGTTTCAACACTTGAAAAATAATAATTGTTAGTTTCTGCTTTACTTGCCAGTTCTTCATACTCTACTGTACGGAAACATTAAGGTGTGATTCCCTCCTCTTTAACTCACGCGAGCTCGCTCTCACTCACTCCTGTCTCCTCTACTGTTTGCAGCTGATGGTGGTGAAACAGGAAGACAAATCCGAGCTGATATTCAGGCACTTCCTGGTCGAGGACAAGAGCGCCAGCGGGGGAGCGTCATACGTGGACTTCTTGTGTCACATGCACAAGGAGATCCGCCAGCTTCTCAGCTAGGCCTACACCCCCCACACCTCCACCTGTATGATTCCCCCCCCTCCCCCTCCCCTCGGTTCACCCTTCCTTGTGAAAGAAAGCGCTTTATCTTTTTTTTTTTTTTTTTTAACCTTTGTAAGTGAATGTGTGTGTGTGTGTGTGTGTGTGTGTGTGTGTGTGTGTGTGTGTGTGTGTGTGTGTGCGCATCTGATGTTAATAGAGCTTTACTCTGCCTCAATTCTACTGCTCCAATACAGCAGGAGCAAAATAACTGGCGAGGGAGGGCAATGTATATAATACATTATATAATGTATACAAGTGAACCGATATGTATGCAACTGAATGAGTGAGTGAAGGAGACGGCTGGTGTGAGTGAGTGAGTGAAGGAGACGGCTGGTGTGAGTGAGTGAGTGAAGGGGACGGCTGGTGTTAGTGAGTGAGTGAAGGG